AAAAAAAAAGCAGAAACCTACTAGCATAAAGTAAATATACATATATATTAATGTGTGTATATTTATAGTAGAAGTAGTAGTAACAAGAAGAGAGCTTAAAGCAGTATCTGAAGACTGCTAAAAGAAAGAGAAGCTCTAGTCCGATAGGAAAGTATATTAAAAAGAGTTTCGATCCGAAGGATAGACGCGCGGCGAGTCGTCCACGTCGGGAAATGTTTGATAGTGAATTTGTGATTTAATGTCGTCCGGTTGTTGTTATTGCAGCTGCTACGATTTGTTGTGATCTGTGCGTCCAGGAGGAAGGAACGAAAGAACGGTCCTTCCCTTCCTCAATACCGCTGTTATCCGTTTCAATTGGATAGAGTAACAGTTGTATTTGATTATTTTTTTTGATGTGCTCCTGTTCCGTGTCTGATATAGAAGTCGCGCGCTCGTGAGGCCCTCAAAAGAGTTTTGGAAATAAAAAATTAAAGAGTATAGCGAGAGAAAGAAATATTGAGAAGGTGATTGGAGTATTAGTGCGGTCTGCACGCAGTGGCCCCCAAATGCTGGTCCGGCGCCGAAGGAGAAGAGGAGCAGCAAAGTCCCAGTTTCATGTTCATGTTTCGGAGCAGACGGAACCAATTGACTAAACAGCTGGTGAAGGCTCGGAAACGGCGAGGAGGCGATGAAGGTCGGCGAGTATCGGAAGGCGGCGGCGGTGGTGGTGGAGACGACGCCAAGGGTCTCGTCGACCTGCTCAAGAAGCTCAAAGATAACCAGCTGGCCATGCTGAGCAAGGCGGTCGAGAGCTGCGGACAGTTCACGAACTGCGTCCTCCTCTCGCGCGATCTCTCCGATCCGCACGTGCTCTGCTGTCAGACCTGGAGGTGGCCTGAGGTCAGGCACAGCCACGAACTCAGAAGGATACCCACCTGCCGTTCGGCCTCGGATCCCATCTACATATGCTGCAACCCCTATCACTGGAGTCGGCTTTGCCAACCAGGTTTGTTCATCAACATACTATATTCCATTCATTCACAATCAGTTTTAGTATACATGAACTCAATATTACATTAATACCATCAAACAACAACAACTTAAACTAAATCTTCACTTCAAGACAACTATCTACATTAAATAAACTTACTTCAAATAAAATAAACGTAAACTGCACACGTATGCTAAATATATAACAATCTTCTTCATTCAAAACAAGTTCTTAAAAGAGTATTCCACCAAAATCAAATTATAAACCAAATCTTGACTTTAAATCTTACTTCAAGTAAAGTACAATTAATTAATAAACACTGAAATCTACTATAGAAATAAACTTTTATTCAAAATATTTATAATATTGACTTTTACTTTGCATCAAACTATAAAATCTAGTCACAAATAAAAAAAAAATGAAATAGTTTCAATAATACACAAATTTTGACAGTGACAGTTTTGATAACTGAATCATCAAACAAAGTTTATACAAAACTATAAATATTAATCGAGTTTATCTATTCAAATATAAACATTGGTTTGAATTTATGAATTCGTATATAAATATTAGAAATTTGAAATGAAAATGAACAATGTTTATGTTTAACAAGAAGATAGTTTCGAAAAACAATGTTGACAACATAAACAGACTTTGTTGAATGTAAACAACACTAGGACGGTGATTCACGGTAGTAAATGACAAAATCGATAAAAGGATGGCGAAGCCACACGCGTTTTTTTTTCGCGTACCTTGATTGCGACCTTTCGAAACAAACAACAACAAAAAATGAGGTTACTAAATCAAAATTCCGAAAAGAAACACTATTAATAATAATAAAAAAACCATACGAAACGAACTGCTCTGTCTCTCTGTCACATATACACACATACGCGACGATCCCACATAATTAGTTGCGGTTACGCAATGTTTGTTTTAAAACTTTCTACGGTAACAACCACATCATCATCTCCACAACTGCGCAACCACCAACATTGTTTATACTTTGATTGGGACTATTCTGGGCATCTATTCAAGTCGGATCTTCTACATCGTGAAGCTTCCTGGAACCTTTATTCCTTTTGTTCGTCATCACTGCTTGATAATTTATTACCAATATAAATATGCTAAGTGGTTTATTTGTCAAGGGTTTACCGGACGGAATGCGAAGGACAGGGTTTTTTTTTATACATTTATACGAATCGAAATAATAAAAATAAAAGGAAAAACCTTATCTGCGATTCCAGTGAATTCATTAAGCCTCTCTAATTGCGAACTTGTATTCGTTATTTCCATATAATTACATAAAGTTATTATTGTTGCAATGCAAAAAAATAAAATAAAACGCTACCTTATTTGTCTCTTCGGTTTCCATTGATATTGACATTCCTCAACCGCAGACATTTTGCTGTATGCTTTATAAGTATTTTATATATCTTTTTTAGTTGACACACTTATGTCAAAATGACAGACTTGACACATTTTTGACATTTTACATAAATTTAAAATTTGTATCCTAACTGATTTCTGTTATTCTATGATGGTGATTAGCTTAGTGAAAACAAACAGTGAGCATAATTTAAAATAGTCCCTGCTCTGAGGAGCGAGCCCGGTGTGATTTATCTCTTCTGCGAAAGTAGCTCGTAAATTGTGGTTGGTCTCTAGTAGAGCACGAACGTCGCAGTAATACATATATTCTTTTAAAAATAAACTGCGTGCATTCGATGTGGTGAAATTCTTTTTTGGAAATCAAGAATTTTGTTGTTGTTGTTGCCATCCTCCGGCTGTGGCACAAGAGAAACAGTTTGGCTCCTCCGTTCGAGAGTTTGGCCATCGAGCGTCAAAATCGTTCGAAAAACTATTCACACACGTCAATCTCGCAAAATGGATGATAGCCATTTCTGCCAACCGTCCATCTGAAAATCCGATCATCGTTCCTGCTGTTTACGGACCGCTGAAAATTTCGCTCAATCGAAAGTTGGCTGCGCCAGATGCAAACGCTAACGCTAACGTCACGACGCGATCGCTTTCTGTTTTTGACATTTTTGCCAACTGTATTTCGATTATAGCATACACACGCACACCTATACTTGATCATAGGTAGCAACGCTCTAAAATCTGTTTACTTAGTATCTGTCATCTTTTGACAGTTGCATTTGCTCTTGGCGTCGCGTCTTGCTACACAACAACCATTATTCAGATGTCAGTTGAATAAAATACGTGCATTTCCCTAATCCTGATCTTCACATAATGCATCCATTTATATTCTAATACCATATGACCTTTACTTAAGCTTGTACATCCAATAAAACAGATCGAAAACGTAATACTGCATTTATGTGCATAAATGACCTTTCTAAACAGGCTTCATTTACAACTTTTTTTTTATATATTGTTGTAAAGCTATATATTCATTATATTGGATTTATAATTGAAATTGACATTCACATCAAAGTAAACGCTATAACTACTTTTCACACTACTATTATTCATTGAATCCAACTTATTTCATTACCAAAATCGATGATTAAAAGCAACCAATAGATCTAGAAATATCATTAATACTTAAATTAACTTATGCAAACTTTCTAAACGGGCTTTTTTTTTCAAAAATTTCAAATCATAATTGAAATTGACGTCCACAACAAACTAAGTGAATTAATGCAAATCTACTGCTTTGCATTCAATATGACGCATGGCATTAAACAATCAAATTAGTATTAACGTTAAAGTGCATTATGTCAAGTAATAAATATTGTTAACCTATAAATGTCACAGAGATTTACTATTTTACAGTAGCCAAACTGTCATTTATTCTGCACATTATTTATTATACAAATTAAATTGAATGTTTATATCTAACCTATAAAGTAAAAAGTTGGATTTTTCAGTTTAATGTTTTGTTTTTTTTTAATGATTGACGTAGATGTAGATATATAATTTCTATATATAATACAACTTGAAAGATTAGTACACTTGTTGTTAATTGATATCAACGAAAATAATAATGTTAAAAATGTTAAAAATTTTTGGAGAATTTCATTTTGTAGCGATGAAAAATTGTTGTTTTGAGAAAATTTAATTGAAAATTATATTCAGAGATTGGAGGAGCAAGAAAAAAAAATTGGCTTTAGATATAAACGGACGTTATGTAAGAGGGCTCTGGCAGTGACAGTTGACAAGTCAATTTGAGTCGAGCTAATACGAAATGTCGTAACGCGATGTGTCCAGAAGTGTGCCAAAGTGAGCGTCTATACGAGGAGGCAGAGAACAATACCAATACCAGTGTGAGATAAAGAGAAAGAAAGGTTCGTTTCTTGTTTTGTCAATAGTTGCGAAATTTTTGGTGTAACAGAAACGGTAACTCATCATCATCATCATCCGTCCGGTGGGAAACTTTTAATTGAGGCAACGGACGTGGCCAATCAAAAGAAAAGCAACGTTTTTTTTTTCTCGGTCATCTTTCTTCGTCTAACGCGTATAGATGATGATGCGTTCTGTCGGTTTGCACAAAATGCACATAATATAATGGCCCGCATTCTTGGAGCGGTAAATCACTTTGGCTGCAGCAGCCGAGAAAATTTCGTCGAGCCGACAATTAGGGTTCTGCGTTTAATAACTTGCGCAATTTTCATAGCGGAGCGTTAATTAATGAGTCTTCAGCGGCGATGGGAGAGAAGTGAAGTGAAGAGGAAAAGAGATCGTTTGGCATATCTCCACTTGTAATTGACTTCGGAATCTGGAGGCACGCGAGTCGCATTTCAGAAATCATGCGAGCTTTCGTTTCGTTTTCCTCCTCTGCTTTATTCATTCATTCATTCAATCTTTTGCTCTTCTCTTTATTTTATTATTATTATGTTGCTTAAGCTCTATTTTTAGTGGTGAATCGGGCAATCTGCATTCGCGGAAAACAGTGGGCAGCGTAAGCTTCGCTCTCCGACTTTTGGCAGCTGACGAATCGTGTCCGAGCAGACAATTCCCAATTAGATTGTGTGTTGTCTTGATGTAGGAAAAAGTAAATGAAATGAAACGAAAGGAGAGGAGAGGAGATATACGAAAGGAATGCGAACGATTTCGGTGCGTGCGTCCTCCGGTGGTGGTCAGAGAACGTCCCCTCAGGCCCCCCCGAAGATCTTTTTCATCTTTTGCGCACTCGTCTTTCTTCATCATCTTAACTCTTATATAAGAGAGAGCATTACAGTTAGAGAGCTGGAGACGCTGCTGCCCATCAAGGCAGAGGCTGTGCCCGTCCCACTCTGGATTCCAGAGTGAGTTCCAAGAAGACCGCTCGAAGACCCACGCTCTCGATCCTTTCCACCGCTTAATGATACACTTCTCTCCTATGCTCTGTGCGGCTGCAGCAGCAGCCTCGGGACCCAAAATCGTTATGGATGATGAAAAGGGGGCCTCCTTTCCTTCCTTCGACCAAATCAAAAAAAAAAAAAACAAACCTTCCCCTTCGATACGTTCATTACCTCATCCCAAATATCAACCTACCTTCTTCTCATTTTTTTTTCTTCTCCTAAGCTTTTCATCATCAAAGTTGGCTCTCCACCGTATTTTTCGAACTTATTTCAATCACTCTTCAACGACGTTTTAAGTGCCTCCCGCTTCTATTTTAGACGCACTCTGCTGATTGTTTTCCTTTGGGAACACAATTTTTCAGTTAGCGAACACACAAAGCGCGAATTGTTGAAATAACGAAGACGCGCTTTGATAAATTGCGGCTTAACTTTGTCAACTCTCTACCTTTTTTTTTTCTCTCTCTCGGTCGCTGCGAACTTAATTTTTGATTTATCTTACCACAATCTATTTATCAAGTGACATTTCACATCAATTACAACTTCCAAATTTTAATTACATTTTCATAACATTTCAAATACTTTAAACGCACTTTGAATATTATTAATGAATTAAATTGTTGTATAAATTACAATTGTTATATAAAAAAAAAACTATACAACGACTTCGCTTTAATTGGATTAAACATTAATATTAATATAACTTAATTATGT